TTGCAAATCAATGTTGAAATGGATGGGCTTGTCAATACATGGTTATAAATAAAGATTTTCCACTTTATCCCACACAAAAAGGTAAAATCCATGACACTATAAAGTGCTTTATAAGTTACAAGCCACAAACTAGGAAAGATGTTTTGTGTGATTTTTAATTAAGAAAGGAGTGGCATTCAGGGACTACAAATTAATAAGGAAAAAGAATTAACTCCAAATGGGCAAAGGATGAATAGATATTTATGCAAAGGTTAAATAATTCAAATGACCAATAAATATTAGAAAAGATGCTCAGCCTCAATAATCAGTGAAATGAAATTTAAAATAATAATCAGCTATCATTTTATACTTTAAATTTTTTACTTGTAGTAACATTTTTTTGTGAATGGAGAGGAATGTAATTTCGTCACTGCTATTGGGATGGAAGTTTCATCACTTTTTTTGGCCTAAATATATTATTACTCTATAATTTGACAATTCCACTTATCAATATGTGCTTTAAAGATAGACTTACATGTGTATATAAGGAGGTATATTCAAGAATGTTCACTGTATCATTGTCATAATGAAGAATTGGAAACAACCCATCTGTCCATCAGTAGGAAATGAATATATAAATGGATATATTTGTATGGTAAAATAATTTACAATAGTTAAAATGAAGTAAATTGCATATATTTACAGTTACATACCATAACACTGTAATATTGAGTAAAAAAAAGTTTCAAAAGAAGATTCAGTGTATGATGTGATTTGTGATTTGTAAAAAATGTTAAATGTGATAAACAGTACAATATATTTTTTATTCATACATACTTACATAGCAAAATATAAAAATATGGACAACAAATACACACCAGTTTCAAGGTTAGAAACAGGTTAGAAACATCTAGAGATGGAGAGAGAGGAATAGAATGCTTAATAGTCTTTGTAATTTTCTATAGTACTCTCTTTAATTTTCTGACACACTGAAATATTTCATAATTTAAAAAACTGAAAAACAAAAATTGGTTACTTTTCATTCTCATGCATATTCACTGTATCCAATAGTTGACTACTTTTTCCAATGTTATCAGCTGACCACAAAAAACTCTATTATGTAACCACTCCGTGACCCTTTCAACTAGAAATGAATAGAAAACAGCTATTTTGTTTATGCATCATCTGTTGAGTTTAGCAAGGCTGCAGACTCAAAAGCCTTCTTACTAACTTTCTCTTTAGAATAGCACAGTGGCAGGAAGGAACCCAAAATTATTGATTCATAAAATATTTCATTGTTTTTTAAAAAAAAACTCATTTTATATTGAATCAGTGAAAAGGAATTGATGTAAATGACGAGTTGATGGGTGCAGCACGCCAACATAGCACAAGTATACATATGTAACAAACCTGCACGTTATCCACATGTACCCTAGAACTTAAAGTATAATTTAAAATAAAATAAAATAAAATAAAATACACTTCTATTATTTAAAAAAAAAAAAGAAGGAATTGAATTTTGTGGAAAATTTTGAAACAAAGATTGATATAACTTATTTTCACAAAGTACTTTATGAAGCAGACAAAAATCAAAAGAAATTATCTAACCTAAATTTATTAAACATTGAATTTATAAATATTAGCTGGACTTTTTTTTGTTAATGTAATTTTTAAAATATCATTCATATATTTATGCCAATGGAATTGAGATTGCAGCAATTTTTATCTGATGAATTCCCTAAGTACCTCATGCTCATACCCTACAACGTGAACATCAGTTCAGAGCTTGATGCATAATTCATTTTCTAGATATTTGAAAACCTAAGGATCTAAAGGGAAGAATTTAGAAGATTAGGAAATTCTCAACTAATTTGCATTCCAAAAATACTTTTATTGTAGAAAAATTGATTAGAGGTCTCTGTAGTAAGAGTTCTACTTCATTCAAGTGTTTGATATTTCATTAATTTATTTACTTCGGAAAATTTTGAGGTGATCCTCAAAATTCAATTCTCTGTTGATCCTTTAGCACAGAAGTTTTAGACCGAGTTATAAGAATTTAATCAGAAATGAAGATTAACTGTTTCTGATATTGAAGTAATAAGGAAATTATCCTATTTGTCAAAAACCCAATTTGCGTGCAGTTGTCAGAAATTCCCTTTGGATATGGAATGATTTGGGATCAACACCTATGGGTAAATAAATAAATAAGCAAAGTGAATAATATCTGTATAAAATTTTCACTGTTTAAGCTGTTAGTAATTAATTTTAAAAATCACAAGTCTAATCGAACTAATCATACACAGTGTTAAAATTAGAATCATAAATGTTGATGTGAATTTTTTGTTGTCTGGAAGAATGGTTTTGCTTGCAGGAAAGACTATTTGGGGATTTATTTTTGGTTTTAGAAACTGGCATTCAGTTTTATAGTGCTATAATTTAAAAAATTGAGACCTTCTTTAGGCTTTTCTGTTCATTCAATTAACTCTATAAGTCTAGCAGATATTAACAATCACTTTGAAAAACCTTTGAAAAATGTCCATTTCCATTTATAAAACTCAACTAAATAAAATATCTTCAAACATTTGAAATGGTTAATAAATTTTATATATTCTGTTTCCTTTTAAATACTTTGGATGTCTCAATTAACAAAACCTTCCTAATTAATGCACAAATATAACCAATTAAATTTATAAATAGGCTGTACCATAAATTATCTTAAATATTCCAATACTATTTGGAAATTTAAGATTTAAAATCACAGGTACAAATTATTCAATTATATTCTGAATAGAAGTCAAAGACTGCCTAGTATCCACAGAGCCCCTCAGTCTTTTTCTTTCACTCTTATAAGTAATACCCCTCCTTCCTAGCGCTGGTGATTTGAATATACCCCGATCCTTACCAGACTTCTCTGCTACCATCCTGAGAAGTCCTATCTTATTCCTTAATCTAAAGATCCTATCCCACTCCTGTGACAAAGACAGTTATTTGAGTTAGCTTAGCATAACTACTATACTTCTCTTTCTGACTTTCCCAGAGTATAGCTGAATCTTTCTTCAGTTTTTCTTATAACCAAGACCTAATGAGACTAGAGCCTTTCCAATAATTTGTTGGTAAAATGAATAAATATGATAAATATAATAATTATTTTTAAAAGACACCAGGCTGTTCATAATAGTGATAAGTACACTTGGAAAATTTGCAACAGGATATGCGCTTGCTTTGGTTTTGGGAAGCTAGGATAGTAAAGATTAATATTTCATTCATTCATTTATTTGCTTATTTTACCAAGGCCAAGGGAGGAGAGGGAAAAAACAAGTAGAAAATATCAGTGAGCAATGGGAAAGGAAACAGTTAACAGATCCCTTAAAATCTCGGAAAAAAATTAGGATTGGCCTCACACCACCTGATATGTTCGATTCTCCTCATTTGTTGGATGGGCCAATATCTTAGAATGTTCTAGATGTAAATATATTTCAACTTCTTTGGTACCTTGATTGATAATGCTGTCTGGGTGCTAGATTGAGAATAATGGTGAAGTGTGTTCAATCTCAGCAGGAAAGAATGCCCTATTAGCAAGCAATGCCTGCCAATACTGATGAAGGGAAGGCACCCTTGCGATATTTGCTATCCTCTGCAGGGTTTGGAGTGTAATGTAGAAATGTTTCCACACAGGGCCAGCATTAAGATGTGTTGATAGGCAGACTGTATACACGTTGGGGATGCCTGGGAGTAGCAAACAAATCTAAGCCTGAAAATAGTCAATACCAGTCAGGGTGTTCTGATAGGAAGTAAAGGGGATGCAGCTGCAGGGCCTAATGTTACCAAGCCAGCCTCTAGTTTGTGGGATAGTGGTAAGAGAAGGTTAAGCAGGGTGCCAAGACAAGGGCTCAGGAAACAGGACAAAAGCCCAGCTATTGGACTGGGAGATAAGGTGAGGGCTTGGTTTTTGAACGAGGCAATGATCTAAGAACTATGATGAAAGTTCAGAGATGAGCAGCAAAATCTGACTTGATGCTGAACTGAGGAGTTACTAGCATAGAGCTATGTAATTTCCTCTATCATAGCCTGGCCCAAAATGAGGCAGGAGGTAAGAGATAATGTCAGATATGTAGACTGGGATTTTATAGGGACAGGAAACCTGACAGTTCTTTACATTCTTCTCTATTTGCTGCCTCATGCTCTCCAGCCTTTCCACTATTAGAGATTATACTCAAGACTATAGGAACCACCACCAAAGATTTAGAGCTGTGAAAAACCCAAATTGTTTAAAAGTGGTATGTTCTTAGTATGTTTATTTGGAATATTGTATCACATAGAGGTTAATTTAAAGTGGTGTAGTTAAACCATGAATACCATGGATTAAAAATCATATCCGTCGGCTCACTTGGGACCATAAATTCTAGCTATAACTTTATTTGTGTGGGTGGGAAACTGTTTCATGCTTCAAGCACATGATGCTCATAATCTGTTTGAAGAGTAACTGTCACTCACTAGATTGTTGTTTTGACAACATATATGTAGAATAGATAAGCAGATACATTTTTTAATAGAAGGAAGAACCAAGCTAGATAATCTTAAATTCATTCAGAAATTTATGTTAGAAAGTAAAGAAAATCTCATTAATCCATCTCCACTGGTTTGAATTTATGATTGCCAACCTAGAACAGCCAAGTGTTGTTGTTTAATCTACCTAAGAAAATTTTTGATAAGCCAGTATACTAATTCTACTTAAGAAAGCATATTATTTAAAATTTTATTTTGCAAAGTGTTGTACATAAATCAGTACTACTAATTACAAATAAGTTTTACTTATTAAAGGAGATTCCACAAACATATAATTCACACATACTTAAAGTTTATATTTGTTCTAAAATTTTGTTTGATTAAGATTTTACAGATCCAGACTGATCTTCCTTAATTGGTTGTAATTAGTACGGGGTGTGTGTGTGTATGTATTTAAGAATCGCAGAAAGCTTTGACTTTATGCATTTCCCCCTTCCTCCCTCTTTACCCTCCAGGTTTTTACCCAGTCTTGCTAGGTCAGCATTAGAAAAAAATCTGGCAGATGACACAATAGAAATAAATACCGATGACAATTTGGAGCCAGAACTGAAGGATTACAAATGTAAGTATTTGATTTGGCTCTTTTTTTTTTTAAGTGAAATAATAATTAGCAAACATTTGATGCTATTTATTTTAGTTCCAGTTAAAAATGTTTTTGGTTTTCATCTACTTTGATTTATGTATTAGTCTGAAGAAATCAACCTGATTTTTTTTAAGTTTGAAAAACACAAGTAAAATCTTAGGATATTTACTTCATTTCAGTACATACTAGATACAATTCCCCTGACCCGTAAGACTCACAGTTGATGCCAACTGATATTCTGAGAATTCCTGCTGTGAATCAACATGTGTAATTTTGACAAATGTACTTTTTCCAAACATATTTCACCAGTGAATCTAGAATGCTGTTTTCTTTGCACATTTACATTTTGAGGGTCAGCGATGTCCAATATGTTGGAGAAACTTTCCTAGGTTGATACAAACTAAAATAATAATCAGAATATGCATGTCATCTTATTCCTTCCATTTCCACCTGTATTGTCTTTTATGGTACTTTTTCTTCTGGATAGCCATAAATATAATTTTGAGTTCTGAGGAGATTTAGTTCTTCATTTAAAAGCTTTCTATTCTTCAATTAGAACATAATGAAAGATTTTCAATTTTTTAAAAATGTAAATACCTATTTTATTGAAGCAGCCAATGTGTGACCACTCTTTAAAAGGGACTGTTGTGGTTTTCTTTGTAGCAGATGCTTTTAATCATTGGGGCTGCACTGAGACAAGAATTTGGTATTGAGAAAGTAAGATGACTTTTTTAGAGTCAAATTATAAACTCAGCATACTGAGGGATCTGAATACAGATATGCAGAGTCAACTCAAAGAAAAGGAATAATATTGTATTCTCAATATTATTTGAGTGAGTCTATTAAATATCCAAAGAACGACTGTCATTCAGACTGCCGATTGTTTGGTCTTGGTTACTGGCTAGTGTTAGCAGTGCCCATCTAAGCCTCGTGTAGGGGATAAGGAGCCTAAGTGAAGAGACTTCTTACTTGTCTGGTTCCATTCATCTTTAAGGCCATCTCTCTTGTGAAGAATTCATTTAATTAACTCTCCATGTTCACACAACAACCTTCTGATGAGGAATTGGCTTTCCGCGCAGGTTCCCTCCAATTAATATGCTGGTTATGGCAACCAGTATATCACAGTCCATGTGAAAGTTACAATTGTCATATAATATTTTGCAATTCTGATTTTACATCAGAATATACATATAGAGAAACCAGAATATGTATCTTTAATATTCTCCTGAAAGTTAGATTTGCCCTCAGTTGTGATGACAAAATCAGTCAGCCTACTAGGCTGAGAACCTTGACAAATTTACCAAAATAATGCCATTCTGTGGGTTTCTTAGAAGATAGCTAGCCAACTTTCTCCCACAGAAGTGCTAACATCACCATTCTCTGACTGCATTTTCCTTTTTGAGGTTGATGTTTTAACAATAAACATTGGTTGAGTGAATAAACTTGTCCTTAAGCCATAAATCTACTGAGTGGATATATTCCATAAACTAAACCATAGATAGCATCAGATGCTGTTTGAATCTGAAATTATGTGTGCCATCTCAACATGCAACTAGAGAGTAGATTCACTGCCATATCCCTGCTCTTTCTTTCCCTTTACAGTTTTATACTGGGTCTATTTCAGAGACCTAATGGTAGTAAATAAATAGTAAACTCTCAGTGTTACAGCTCATGGTTTTCCTTCCCTGTAGAACTTGTAAATAAAAGGAAAATGGCAAGGATCTATTGAAGGGCGAAGTTACTGTTAAGATCTACTGTGCTGTGTCAAATGTGTAGCACTCCGCAGTGATTCAACAGGGTGACGATTATTTTTAGCTCAGACTTGTTCACAGTACTCCATAGAAGCAAACATTGCTTTTCTCCATTGTTTTTCAAAACGCTTAGCACAAAAGTCACATTCTAGTAGAGAAACAAACTGTAATTTTCTTATTTGAAGTAGAAAAAAAAAAAAGATGGGTGAATTGTTTAAGGCATTGTGTATTTGCTTGCTAAAGTATTTCCACAGGTTGGAATGTTATTTGGAGTAAAATATTAAATATATCCCATGTGGTAGAAAGAATGTCAGACTAGACTGAATTCTGTTTTAAGCTCTACTCATATTAGCTGGGTGATTTTGAGAAAATTACGTAGTGTATGTTTTTAGTATTCTCATTATTCTTTCCTCTTTGAATTACATGAAATCATATGAGAAAAAAAATGAGGTGAAGCTTTAGCTAGGGATCTGGCACATAGAAGGTCCTTAACAAATGATAGCTTCTATCATTGTAATAATTAGTATTACTAAAATACCTGCTACTATTAATGTTATTAATATTATTATTGAACTTGAAACATGTCAGTGAACATGTCATGTGTATCCGGTTACTGTAGGGAATACGTGGCAGATATGTTCCCTGACTTTAAGAGCTTTATTACTTAGTTTTCTGGCTTCCAGGAACTCATAATCTATTCTAGGTCAACCTATTTAAAGCAAATAAGGAATAATATATAATTATTACAAAATAATTGCATAAGACAGCGGTTCCCAATCTAGCTGGGTATGAAAATCACCTGGGTGATTATTTGAAAATATAGGCCTCCTGCACCAACCTTGCAAATAGTAATTTTAAAATATTCATTTTGTTATGTTTATTTGTAGTGTGTATATACATATATATATATCACAATTTAAGTGATTTATCCAATAAATTTATCCAAAGTGATTTATAAATAGCTGAGACTAGAGGCATGCGTCACCATGCCCTGCTATTTTTTGTTTACACACACACACACACACACACACATATACATGTATATATGTATAAAGAAAGAGACGGACCAGGTTGCACTGTTATCCAGGCTGGAATACAGTGGTGCAATCATGGCTCACTGTAGCCTTAACCTCCCGGGCTCAAGCAATCCTCCTGCCTCAGCCTCCTGAGTAGCTGGGACTACAAACATGTGCCATCAGGCCTGGCTAATTTTTAAAATTTTTTGTAGAGATAGGGTCTCTCTGTGTTGCCCAGGCTGGTCTTGAACCCCTAGACTCAAGTGATCCTTCTGCGTTGGCCTCCTAAAGTGCTGATGACAGGCATGTGCCACTGCACTTGGCTGAAAATAGTAATTTAAGAGTTCTGTGGTAGGTTAGTTCATCTGTATTTTTTACTAGAGCTGTAGGAGATTATCTTAAGGGGTTTCTGAATTGGTACACACTAAAAAATAATATTCAAGGTACTTTGGAGCTTTTGAATTTAGGTGTATTTAACTTATGTATGTGTTATAGTCTCTGACCAAACAAACTTATGAAGGTGACTTGACTGTATTCTGGTTTTGTTTTGTTTTTTTTTTAGTTTCTCACAATTATATATATACTGTTTTCTATCTACATTGTTTTAGAGAAAATTTGTTACCTTTTGGAGCATTTTGTATCTAGAGCTGTGGTGTTTTATTACTACTCTCAAGTTTATTTCTTTAGATGTTAAATTAAAATCCACAGATATTGCTGAAGCTGTATTGTGTTCTATGTTGGGTGGCTTGGCATCTCTGAGGACAGTGCTATGAATAATTATCTGTCCTGTGTGAAATGTTTAGGTGAAGTAACATCTGGAACTCTGAGGATTGGTGCTGTTAGTGCTCCGATCTATAATGCGCACGAGAAAATGAAAGTGCCTGATGTTCTTTTCTATGACAACATTCAGGTAAGAGTATTGCTTTGTGTTCTTGGATAAATCACTTAAATTATGGTAGTAAACTCCAATTCAAGTGAAATTGACATGTAATTATTTTTGTGATTTCCTAAATTTAATTTAGATGATGCAGAATGAAGTGTTGAACATTTTGTGTGTGTGTGTGTGTGTGTGTGTGTGTGTGTGTGTGTGAGATGGAGTCTCACTCTGTCACCTAGGCTGGAGTGCAGTAGCACAATCTCGGCTCCACCTCCCAGGTTCAAGCGATTCTTGTGCCTCAGCCTCCCGAGTAGCTGAGATTAGAGGCGTGCACCACCATGCCCTGCTAATTTTTGTATATTTAGTAGAGACAGGGTTTCACCATATTGGCCAGGCTGGCCTCAAACTCCTGATCTCGTGATCCGCCTGCCTCGGTCTCCCAAAGTGCTAGTATTACAGGCATGAGCCACCACACCTGGCTGAACATCTTTCATTAAGACATAAGACAGAAAACAGAAAATTTTTTCCAAAGATACTTAAAAATTGGAGGAATTGTTGCTATCATTAGGGTAATATAGTGTATATATATATATCTACACACACACATAATTATATATGTAATTTTATATACAATTTTTAAATTAAAATAAACATTTTAAAATTAAACACAAAACAGAGCTATCATCCTCTCTTTTACTTGCTTGTTAAAAGATTTCAGTAGTTCAGAGGGATATGTCTGATGCATCCTTTTTCTCATACTCTTCTTTTTCCTGCAAGTTCCTGGTATTTTTCTTTTATTTCCTTTTCTTTTTTAAAGGAGAATGGTAGAGGCTCTCCTTGTAAACTAGCCAATAGTTATGGACCTTCCACTAAGACGTAGAAGTTTGTATCTAGAAAACTTTATTGTAGATGTTTACTTTAATAAGAATTCTTTTTAGAGAAAATTACCTATAATATAAAAATTTTTTCTTTTCCAACTTTTCTGTCAAGTGGCTATGTATTTTATAGTAAAACACCTACTTAAAATTTTCTATAATACATTTTAAGTTATATTAACTTTATAGGTATCTAGACATATTATTCTTAATAAAAATCTTAGTTAAAAATTCTGAAATCTGTCAAAACTATAATAATTTTGTATGGCATAGAAAAGAGCATAACCTTGATTTGATTTTTATCCATTCTATAGCCAATTAACTGTTTTATTTTTTTTCTGGAGCATTAATGCTCTTGCACAATCAGTAGACAAATGAGCAGAAAATAAAGTTACTTATAAGATACAAAAGTAGAAAAAAATCTTGCCTGTCAAAGACAAAAACATGATTATGAGGAAAACATACTATTTCCAAGCACTTATAGTATTACACTCTATTCATGTAGTGGAAAGGAACAAAGAGACAAAGAACCAGGAAACTGTTATAAATGACAATTTGAAAAACTCCTTGGTGGCAAAGATTGAAAAGACTTCCAGGATGTAAGAATGTAGGAAATTCAGTAGCAGCAAAGACCATTGTGCCCTTGAACACAATGTCTGTTGCCATGGTGTTTGTGACATGGACATTTAGGACGCAGGGCTGCCATGAACTTTACACAGTGGCCCTGAAGGGCTTTTCGTAAGCTATCTCCAAACATACCTTCTCTTCTTAAAGCATTATGAATTAGCCATTAATGAAAACTTTTTAGCTGCACCAATTCTATGGACAGTAGCTTGATTAAATTTGCTTCCATTGTGTATATTATTACTTCCTTTTATGCTGTACTTCATCTTTGAAGCAGTAGGTAGTGCCTCTTGTAGACTGAGGTGCTTCTGTATCATCTTGTTGTTCTATGCCCTGTTGTCTCCTTACCACATTGTGTTGAAATGGACTTTTGAAATGTGTTTTTCCATATCACTAAGGCACAGCCCTGTTTTCTTTATTTAATATTTCCAGCAAATAGTAAAGTGCCTGGCACGTAGTAACTGCCAAGTAAATATGTGTTGAGTGGATTAATAAAATAATGAGTAAGATTTTGAATGTTCTTGATAAAGGATATTACTTCATTAAGTCTTCCATTAAGGAATATTACACTTGCAGCAGTAAGGAAGTTGGAGGAAAGAGAAATTAATAGCCTCTTAATAGGCCTAAGGAGTTTTAGATGGGTAAGAATTTTAAAATACCCATTATGAGTCTGGCCTTGTATTGGGATACAGAGATCAAAATGCACACACAAGTGTATGTAGCTCTAGGGCTCAAGTTGTTCTTAATCTGCAAGAAGGTACACACAGTTACTACGCAGTGTGGTGGAAGTATGTGCAGTTTACTTATGGTAGCATTGATGGGGTTGATTGACCCAGATTGGAATGATCATAGAAAATTGGTCAACCAGACCCAATTAGGAGAGCCTCTCAGGCAACGAGACCAGCATTAGCAGAGACTTAGTTATATGAGAGAGTAGCTCATTTAGGGAGCTATATATAAATTGTTGTCACTGGTATGAAGCTGAGGTTGCAGGTGGAAGAGTGTCAGGAGAAGAGGCTGGTGAATGAGGAAAGAGTGAGATCTTTTCAGTCCTGGTAGTTAAGGAATTTGGATTCTATTTAGAAGAATGAGGAAGTTATTGAAAGATTTTAAGCACATTTGTACTTTGGCTAACTTTGCTTTTACTCTTTATTGTTGTCTAGGAGTTAGAACCAAGGCAAAGAGAAACTAGTTAGGTGGTGATTGCAGTAGTCCAGATGAAATTTATGAAGGATCTGAACTAAAGAGGAGACAGTGGGGACAGAGCGGAGAGGACACATTGCAGGGCTGTTTAGGAGATCAAGTCAGTGGAAATTTGTGTTAGATGAAAGGCAGAGATTATTTCTCAGGGAGCACAATGTCTGGTGAAAAAGTAAACAGAAGAGTAAGCAGAACATTATTCTAAATCATGCCCATGGTTGGAAACACAGTATAGAAGGAGAGTGGTAGGAGGTGAGGAGACTAGACCACGAATGTAAGGAATGACTTTTGTTCCTGAAGTATTAGGAGTCATTTAAGGAATTTTGAGAAATGAGTTGACAAATTTTGAACAAAGAAGTGTCAGGACTGTAAGAACACATTGACTTAAGGAGAGACTGAAGTTAGAGAAGCTAATTAGCTGATACGAATCTAGGCCAGAGATGATAAAAACCTTAAAACTGTGGGGATGGAAAAGAAAGGGTAGATGCAGTTGATTTTTGGTGGCTTAACAACTCAGGTGCTGTTTAGTTGGATCTTGATAACAGAAGAATGAAGAGGGCAGGGTGCTGATGATAGAAGTTTGGTCAGCTGGTAGAAAATGATGCCATTAACTGGAGAAAAAGATGCAGGATAAAGAATGAAGTTCAGGAGAAAGGAATAAGTTGAGTTTTAGATGTGTTGAATTTAGGTGCCAGGGCAATCACGAAGTGGTTTGATCATTCAGAAATCGAGGGCTGTAGTTAAGGAGGAAAGTTTTGCTGTTGAAGATTGGTGTGGAGTTGGTAACTGAAGCCATGAGCTAGATGAGAGGATTTAAGGAGAGCAGGGTCAGAGGTGGGTCTTTGAATGCTGACATGTGGGTATCCAACTCTGCACACAGCCCTCCCTCAACCCTCAGGTGGGTGCCTGGGTACGAGTAGTCACCACCTGCCCCATACCATGAATACAAAGGGAAGCATGTAAGAACGTAGAAAGACGGAATTGCTACAGGAAGATCCAGCTCAGAAAACTATGGGAGAAATTGTTAGGGAGGTAGGAAGGAATCAGGGGAAATGGATAACTGGGAGAGGAGACTTTTAAGAAATTGTCTGCAGTACTAAGTGGGTCAAGAGGCTAAGAGGAGAATTGTGTTGGCGGTGACTTTAGCCTTAGCTAAGGTTTGTTGATTTGAATAATCGAGTTAGATATAATGAGGGCATGAAGTGGGAGGACATGAGAATTGTAAAGAAGAACACAAATATAGTTTGGATTATTTTTTGATATTTACATTGCTTTTTTCTTCGGCTATTCAGGTACTTACTCCAACTTTTCAACGTACATTAGCCCATTTATTACTGGAAGAACTTAGTGTTTTCTGGAATTGGCACTGACTTTTCATCTTAGTGAAAAGGAAGAGGTCTCCATACTATATTCCCACCAGAACTCAGCTTAAAATGATGTACATCTTGGTTTGCTTAACATAGTTTCTGCTTATACTTGTTGTCTCAGCATAATTATTAATAGTGTCTCTTTTTATTCTTAAAAGCATACACCTTATATCCATTTAAAAGTGTTCAAGAATAGTTATATCCTCACCTCACTTCAAGCCTTATTAAAACTCTAGCTCCATGGCGTATCTGAAAGCATTTTTGAAATTAAAAATGACCAAGATAAACATGAGGGAATACTCATTTGTTCCTGAAGGCGATAAAGCACTTTCTCAGTTTTTCTTCTAAGAAAGAAACTCTGAAAGAGAATACTATTAAATTTGACAAGTAAAAAGAAAAATTTCTGTGTGTATGTGTATATGTATGTATTATATATTATCTATATTTTATATCTATATATTATATATAATTTATATGTATATTATACAATATATATAAAGCACCATAAACAAAATTGAAAAGACAAAGCAAGTGACGTACTAGAAAAATATCTGCAGCATGTATTAAATGCAAAAGGTTAATTTGACTGTTTACAAATAGGAAACTTCAATACTTTAGTACTTACAAAGCTGCTATTGATTTGATACAGAAAACCAAAGAAAGTAATAGGAATATTAATTGTACTGGAGTGTAGATCTCTTCCCAGCCCCAAAGAACCCGCATGACCTACTTACAGTTGTCTTATTTTTCAAGATACAAAAGAGCAATGTAATTTCCTCTGTGGCTATTGTGAACAACCTTAATCTTGTTCTTTTATTATATTGTGTCATAATTCAAATTAGAAAGTGTGGAAGGTAAATAGTATATTTTTAATTCTGAAGCTATCCATAGCTTTAAAGGTAATGATTAAGAACAAGTCAATGTAAAATGTTCCCTAGAAGTGTACAGTTATTTTAGGAAGCCTTTGTATATTTACATTAGCAAGTGTCAATTTAAATATTATATTAAATTATAAGCCAACTCTACATAGTATAATAGATAAAAAGTATTTGAGTTGAATTATTAAAAACTCTGAAATATTAGTCAGTTGCTTAGTCTTGGTCAGGTGAACTATTTCAAGTTTTCAATATCAGTGACCTAAATGGTTATATAATTTACTTCTAACCATAGATTTAATTTTGGGTCGCATCAAATTGCTTGATTATTATTTATTATAATAGATATTTATATTCTATAAAGATATCTTTATAGTTAACTTTCTTGTTTCACCTTGATTTTACAAAACACAGTTAACCCCTAGTTCCTTTTTCTCTAGCACATGATAGTGATGGAAGACATGCTGAAAGACTTTCTCCTTGGAGAACACTTATTATTGGTTGGCAACCAGGTGAGTTATGGCTACAATCTAGGTACCAATGAAAAAATGATAGTAACAATTTAAAAGCAGTAAGTTTCTTCTTGTTGGAATCAGTTTTTTTTTCCCCCTATTAAATGACTGGTTTAATTAAAGGATGAGACTCTGCTATCTTCCAGACTTCAAAATTACCTCAGGGTTTAAATCATCCTCCATTCTATCTCTCATCAAGTTCTGTCCATTCTGTCTTATAAGTATGTACTCTTCTTGTCCACATCTGTCACTCTAGCCCCAGTGATCTTTACCTGCCACTTGGATTACAGCAATAGTTTCCTATGATAGCTCCATCCCCACCTTATGCCCATTCTTATCTGCTGTCCATTCTGTAGTATCTGTAGTCAGATTGATACTTGTAAAACTAAAATCTGATTGAGTCTCTGTCTTTTTGCTGAAATTGGCTCCCCATTGCTGTTAGGTATAGTCTGAGTCTTCAGTATGGTGTACAGTCCTACAGGATTCACCCTCTGCCCACCCCTCTAGTCCTAAGCCATGTCCCCTTCTTTCTCTGTGTTAGTTTGAGGCACTCTGCAGTTTCTCATCTATTCAGTTACTTATCTCTGCTCTGGTCCTTGGTACATGCTCTTCCTTCTGCACGGAGAACTTCCTGTCCCCTACCCATATACCCTCCCTTTAACTTGTGGAAGAGAGACCTTCCCTTGTCCCTGGCTGAATAGGTTTTTCCTGCTTCTACTCCCTTTTATCTCCTTTTTATCATACTAGTCATACCATATGACTGTCTTTGCAACTTGTCTATGTGTCCCTTGAGAGCACGGACCGTGTTTTTCTTATTTATCTCTGTCCTCAGCTCCTAGCATGTACCTTTTACATAGTAGGCGCTCAATGTATGTTTATGGAGAAACGTATGAAAATTTTAGGTTTACGGGGTCCTGATAATTTTCCTCTATTGAATTTTCAGGCTCACAGTGAACAGTACTTTGGGTTTTTTAAATTGGTCTTAAATTAAGGGTAACCAGGTTTCTGAAGTTTGGTTTCTATTTTTTCTTCTTTTTTTGTACTTACAAAAATAATACATTTTCTTTATATATTTAGCCTCTCAAACTTATCATTTTAAAGTACTGATTAAAAAATAAAAATAAAAATGGGCCATTTGGGTGGTTTATTGATTTGAGAGCATAGGCTTGGAAGTTAGATGACTAGAGGCTCAACAGCAACTCTTCCACATGTGGTTGTGTGACTTTGGGCAAATTGCTTATCTTACTGAGGCTCAGTTTCCTGATGTCTACTCTGGGAATAAAAATAAGTATGGTCTCTGGGCTAATGTAAGGATGTCATGAGATAATGCGTGGGAAGTACTTCACACAGTGCTTAGTTCTGTCAGCTCAATACCTGTGTATCACTGTATAGTTTAAAAGTAATATTCTGTTGTTTCATTTTTTAAAACAAGAATTAAAAGCAGAACAATAAATTATTTATGACCCTTTAATTCCTACTATTTGAAAAGTCCTACCTATTTTTCTTCACTGAACAGTAAAAGATGAGCCTATATACCAGAGTGGGAAGATGAAGATCAGTTAACAGTCAGAATTTGGCTCTTGATATTGAAACCCGGGAAGTCACATTCTCATCGCACTTTGAAAAACAATGGCTCTGTGGACATTCAGGTTGTATATAGCCCAAAATACTTTGTAAATTTCTTGTAAGAGTTTCACAAACTCTTTATAAGTTAAACGTTGGTGCACTCAGTGTGTCCTTTTCAGAACTTCTGCCATTGCCTGAATGGCCTGCCAAGACTATACAGAACTGGGGCTTGAGGAATAATTTTTCTAAGGTGCAGGTTTTCAAAAGGAAGATCCCTAGAGGTCAAGGTATGGTGTCCAAGTGGTTTTGAAATCTCTCTTATGGTATTGCTATCCTAAGGGTTTGGTGGGTTGGATGCAGTTGGTCTCTTGGCAAAGGTAGCACTTGCAATTGAGCAGGTGATAGATTATAGTTTCAGGAGGGTCTTCTAGGTTAAAAGGTTGAAGTTAATGCCTCGCCAGTAACTAGAGAGAGAGGAAGCATGTTCTAACCTCTGGAGGATTAGGGAGAGCTATTCAGAGTAAAGGGTGAAGTAGAACAGAGGTTTCCTTCTGCTTTATGATGAATGAAGCAGAGACTGTGAAAGTGTTTTGGAATTGTCCTAGGGTGCTGTACAAACCTTGGCATAAAATCTAATATTCTATCTCTCGTTTGTTTCCAGTCCTAACGAAAGGAACAAGGCATTAGAGCAAAGAACTAAGCAGTGGGGTGGAGGGAAGGGCAGCTACAGCTCCATAGGTAGATGGTTGGACTCCAGTATCTGGTAAGGATGGACAAGTACACCGATTTTCAAGCCTGTCTAGGACTGGTTCAGGATTCAGCTAGATAGAACCTTCAAGTTGAAGATCCCCAGGAAGAACAAGGCAGGAGCCATGGGTTGGCACGAACTTTTACTTATCAGTTCTTTTGCAAAAGCCATCTGTGGTCAGCAGATCATACTGTCTTGCCATCTTGTACCCCTATCCTGCCACTCTCCACTTTGGAGAAAGAAGAAATTACAAAGGGAGATTGTATTCAGTATAATTTTCTATGTTTAGCTGGCCCTTTTCATATCAAAAGAGTTTTCTGTTCTTTCATTATAAACCTCTAAGACCATCAGTATTATAATACCAATGTTGAAGGAACATTTTTTTTTGTAAGTAAATTATGCTACACCTGTGTTCATTATGTTATATAGTGGAAAAGTCTAGCTCTCTTAGACTGTCATTTGATGTCCTCCATGATCTAATCCTACTCTGCTTTCAGCCTGGCATCTGGTTTCTCCCTGTAAATGCTTGTCCTGAGACAAATTAAACACTCTGTTTCCCAAACATACTTTATTTTCAGTGTTATATTTCAACCTCTAATCTTTGCCTATTCACATTCTCTTAACCTCAGAGTGGCAATGTGGCATCATGGAAAAGGAATAAGCTGGGTACCCAAAGACCTACCTTCTTTTTCAGATTTTTTAACTCTCTGTGATAGTTGAGTAAATTGTTATTGAGTAAATTGATGTGTGTGATATCAACTGATAATGTGATACTGAGTAAACAGTTATTCCTTCTAATTAGGGGCTTTTCTTTTTTTTTATCTATACAATTATAGACTTGGCACAGATATTTTCTAGGGTCTCTCTGGCTGTAATATTCTACAATATGCTTCTTTAATAAAGTCCTCGTGAACACTATGGCTTGAAGGCTTGACTCCACTCTCTGAACTGTGATAGGTCACTTACAGATTTCTTTTGGGATTTAGATTTATGCACTTACCCACCATCTCTGTGAAAGAGAGAGAAAGAGTCTTCATTATTTTTGTGTCTCCCAGATGCTTTGCATACTGTAGACATTCAACAAATACTTGCTAAGTTAATTAGTAGATGTTAGAGGACTATCTGAAATAAATTCCTGGCTGGGCACAGTGGCTCATGCCTGTAATCCTAGCACTTTGGGAGGCTGAGGTGGGTGGATCAATTGAAGCCTGGAGTTTGAGACCAGCCTGGCCAACATGGCAAAGCCCTGTCTCTGCTTAAAAGAATACAAAAATTAGCCAGGTGGAGTGGCATGTGCTTGTAGTCCCATCTACTTGGGAGGCTGAGACAGGAGAATCACTCGAACCTGGGAGGCGGAGGCTGCAGTGAGCTGAGATCACACCACCACACTCCAGCCTAGGAGACAGAGCAAGACTCTGTCTCAAAAAAAAAAAAAAAAAATTAATTAATTAATTAAATAAATTCCTAATGAGTAGCCAAAATGACTTAGAAGTAATATAAATTTAAAATTTAGGCTCAGTTGGATTGTTTTCAGGGGGTTATAAGACAAATTGAAATTTCTTCTCTGAGCTTGCAGCTGTTTTAAGTGAAGGAGACAAATGAATCAGATAAAATCTAGGGACTACCTACTCAAGAGAGTAAATAGTTAAGTAGTCCATTCAATTGGATATAGTTCTATAATGACAGCATCAGAGACTGGCAGCATTATCACTAAGACAGAATAATGAAATGCTAATTATTTTTAAATTTCTAATAATAAAGTGCTGATTAGTATTTAGCTAATTAAATCATACATAACTTTGCCTGTGCTTGCATTTACCAGGTCAAGGGGGTGGAAATTGGACCAAGGTGGCTGGTTAAAATCTAAATAGAACTTTTTGAATCCTTTAGCCAACTTCAATTCCTTTCTAATGTGTTTTCATAAGGTAACATCTGTGCTAAGATCTGAGCAATATTCTATGGTTAGACTCTTAGCTGCTTCTGTTTGGTGGGTACAAGGGAGTACAGAGCCGCCTGTAGCATTCCTTGGCTAATGCAGTACCCCACAGAGCTGTGCTTTGCTGGGAACTGGCATAGAGTTCATGTGTTCTCTTTCTCTGTGCTGCTCTGAGTGCTGATCATCTAGGAGAGTTATTTATTTGGGAATGTGTATTTTTGCAGTGATAGTAACTCAGGTCCTTCTTCAGTAGCTTTAAAAATGCCTTGCTTCATTGGTCAATGGTATTTCATGCTTTTCTTCATATTCGACGCACCTGCTCACCTTCACCCTTATTTCTGTCTTCTGAAACAAGACAATCAAAGAACACAAAGACAGGCAAGTGAAGGTGCAGGTAATAGGTGGAGGACAATTGACTCTGAGCTCTCCTGGGGTAGTGTCAATGGTGTTTTCAGTCAAATGCAAAGTGACAGCCCCCTGTGAAAATGCCTATTTTTAATCACATATTTATTTTTAAAGTAAATTAATCATGTGTAGCAATTGATCAGGCTCCTTTCTTTCTCCTTCTAATGCATTGTCTATAGATATATGCAGTCTACACAGCCTTCTGTTTGCAAACTAGAAACTGGCTGAACTCTATGAAAGAAATGTTTCAACACTTGAAATTATATCTAGAGATGTTTTACAAGACTGCTCTGTTACCAGTGGCAATGAGGAAATTAAAGAGAATGGGTGCTGATTTTGAGGTAT